CTATCATGTTATCTAATTAGCTATTAAGTCCAGATAGTCACGAACTTGTGTAATAAGCTGAACATCAATGAATGAATTTATCACATTGTTTTCAAGCCGTTCTACAATTAAGTTGTTTAACTGATACATTTATTTGATCGGATCATTTGTATGTGTACAAATATTCAAGACCATCATCTTGTAACTTTGAACAATCAATAACTGATACAAGTATATGCAATAATCCTTATATATTTACATAACTCGTCGTTTAAATAAACGTCTATAAATTACTTTACTTACTTACATACGCCTGTTACTCTCAATGGAGAATAGGTCACCGACTAGCATTCTCCAATCCACTCACTCTTTCCTGAACCTTCCTTTCTAGTTCTATCCAATTGTTGTTCATTTTTCTCATATCTGTCTCCATATCTCGGCGTAATGTGTTCTTCTTTGATCTTCCTTGTCTCCTTTGGCCTTGAAGAATCCAAGTGATGAGAGCTTTTCTTGTGACACAGTTCGATGTTTTCCTCAAATTATGTGTTTTATCCACATTCAACGCTTCTTCCTGATTTTGTTCCTCCTCTGAAATTTAGTTTGTTCTCTCCCACAGTATATAATTTGAATTTTTTCCCAATACCTACATGAAATACATTGAATAATAATAACTGTGTTTTTTTTTAAACTACGAACAATTTAAATAACTTCTGTCCCCCTCCGCCTCCCCTCACCGGGTGGGTGAACAATTTACATTGGTGCCATGGAGACTATAATAAGTGATATAAATCTTTTAATCAATTAATTTAATGTTTAAAATATGTTAATTTTATAACCAGATCATACACAGTATACAGTATGTTAAAAGTCTTCATTCATCTAGTCGACCATCAGAAGAATTGAATATTAAGATATAAATCTATCGGCGTAACAAAGTTTTCCGATAACTTTATTATGACAAGAAATAAGTGTAGTGTATGCTACTTATATGGATAGACATAAGTAGTATAATGAAAGAATCAAAGGAATAATGAAGTATATATAAAGGATAATCGATACTAAGATGTGTAAATGATGTATATAATGTACAATTTTTTTATATTTTCTTAAGTAACTATGTGATTTTGCTGAGTGATACGGGATCGAATTCGTTAGGGAGCGTCAGCTCCTTCAAGATTACAGGTACACTTTACTGGCAAGTGCCAAATAGCACGAGACCTATGTAAAGGGTTTCCTGTTGACTAACTTCAATCATAGTCTTATCTCAACATAGTGAAAGCAACGTCGAGTCACCTAGACCAAAAGTCATATTGCAACTTCTTTGATAGTATTCGATTTGTACTAAGAACGACCTGACACATAAGACATTGATCACCACCCAGTGATCAATCGATTGTGTATATGATTTTGCGCTAATCGTCATTAATAAGTAATAAAAATCTTAGTGCCCATGACCTTCGATCTCGTAAGTGACCGATTAACCTCTGAACCATTAAACAGGCATCCAACAGTGTTAATGACTAAATTCAATCGGTCCATGATCTTGTGCAACCTTTCATGCGTTGACTAGCTCAAAGATGAATTTCTTGGAGTTCTCATGAGGAGCCGTGATCAGTGGTGTCCACTTTGTGTTGGGTGCGAGACAGGTATTTACATCAGATGAAGGATGAAAGGTTGCGCAAGATCGATGATCGATGGGAGTTAGATATTAACACCTTTGGATACCAGCTAAGTGGTCTAGAGTTGAAGCGTTTGTATAAGACCGAATGTTCTGGGTTTGAGTTCCTTTGTTGCGGGATTGGGAGTGCTAAAGAATTTCATGCTAGGACAAAACTGTAATCCAGTGCTTTCAGGTTTTCCATGTAGGTTTAGTTTTAATTGGCTCATGAATTCAATTATTTCTACGATCTGAACGAATTGTGTTGTACTTCTGCTAGATGATCAATTAATTTACAATCCTCTTGATTAGATATTCCTCTTCATTTATTGTCATTATAGTACTGAAACACATCGTTATGATTAGCAGAACATTGGATATTGTTCTTAATCATATTGAGTTTATTCAGGCTTGTTTTCAATGGAAGAGATGTATATTATCCTCAGTTAACTAGCGTTTGTCAAATCATTTAGTATGAATGGAATATTTTCACAATGGGGTATGGTATTCTGAAGGACCACTTAGGAACAATGATTTGATTTATTTATTTATTTATTTGAACGCAAATATTGATACAAAGGGGCACCGAATATATATGCGCCATACAAGTCACTTGATTTATGTGTGGGCTGTGATACTGTCTCGGTGCCCAGACTGAAACAGATGTTATCCTTAGGGGGGTCACACTCGGAGCCTTCAACTTAATCTAATCTACAAGACAGTGGAGCAACGTAAAGAGATGCAGTTTCTCGGTGAACAATAATTTGTTAATGCTCCATTTGTTCCTTCAGGATCCTGGAGTCCATCTGCACCATTGATTTGGAAATAGGGCTTTCCAACTTACCTAGGTGGACCTTCAGCGTCCATCAACCTAATTAAAGTGCCATACATTCGCTTTTCGTCCTTTCAATTTCGTAAACAACAATGATACCGCAAGAAGGCAGTAACTAGGACTTCCCTGACAGTTGTTGTATACGCATGGCCACGTAAGAGCATTTGGAGATGAATAGCTAACTCTCCCCACCCTCGACCGTACCAGAGCATTCGAGGACTAGGAGTTATTTGAATAAAAGGTTTGAATAAAGGCTTCCAACTATTTGGAATACAAATATGAAACTGATGAAGGTTTTAATAAACTTGATTATATTTCAGTACTAATTGTGTTTTTTTTTTGATGTCCTCATTCACTACTGTCATCACAATTAATCAACGTTTCACATCAGAACTTTACCGAATTAAACTCAAATTACCTTTTCAGTGGTTTTTTTAAGGAATCATTTATTATTTCAATTTATTCATAATGACAAATTAACATCAAAAGTAACATCAAACTATTCATTCGTAAGCTATTAGTATTTAATCACAGATGCCTTAAAAATATCGCTCGCATCTGCTGGAATCACCAGGTAGGTAATAGTGAGGTTAGACGCAGGGTGTTAGAGAATGATGGTGAATCAGTTGATGAAGTTGTAAATCTTCATCGACTGAGATGATTGGATCACGTGTTACGTATGCCTGAACACCGATTACCACGAAGCGCAATGGTGACTAGTGTTGGTGATTGTTGGAAGAAAGTTAGGGGTGGCCAAACCGAAAAGTGGCATTAGTCATTGAAGTCACTAACTTCTGGTTTGAGCCATCCTGGTAGATGCGGACTACTTGGTTGGGGTCGGCGTGACTGCAGTAACCAATAGTCGGAGACTGTGTGGCATGGCTCAGAATCGATCATAATGTCGTCGGTGTATACACTCTTTATCTTCCTTTAAACTATGGGATTAAAATAGCTCCATATCTTTCTTTCTACCAACTGGTTCTTTCTTCCTGAATTCTTCTTTGTTTGATATTTTACTATAATTGAAATAACTACTTCTATGAATTCGGTGTCCATTTTTTTGTGCAAATGAGTTATGGTCACTTGGACCGATGCATATATGTGCCTGGTCCTACATTGTAGCTGACTGACTGACTTACTGTTAAAATTGATAGTTGATGTTCAACTAATCCATAGATATTATAGTTCATAAGCTGAGGTTAGATTCCCCAGCATCAATCTATGAGGGTTAGCAGTCTTTAATAGAATTCTGAATACACGAAGTTAAATTGTCCTCTTTTCTGTTTCTCTTCATGATTCCATGTTAGGGTTTGTCTTGTAATGCAGTTTGGCGATTTCCGTAATGTATATCCTATCCACTTCCAACGTATTTTCCTAATTTCCTTTTCATCTGGAAGCTGATTCATTCTATCTCACAGGTGTCCGTTGCTGAAGGTATCCCAACAATGGATATTGAGTATCTTGTGCAGACAATCCTTCATAAATATTTCTACATTTTTGATGATGTTTGTGGTAGTTCTCCAAGTTTCAGTTCGGTACAATAGAACAGTGTTGACGTTCATATTGAAGATTGTTAATTTGCTATTAGTTGATAGTTGTTTTGAGTACCATATGTTCTTCAACTGTAGGAATACTGTTCGTGCTTTGCCAATTCTCGCCTTTACGTCTGCATCGAGTCCACTTTGTTCATTGATGATACTTCCAGATACGTGAAGAATTCCACATATTCCAGAGATTCTCCATCAAGTGTGATTGGATTGACGTTCTTTGTGTTGTATTTGATGATTTTGGTTTTGCCCTTGTGTTTGTTTAGGCCTACTGCTGCAGAAGCTGCTGTTACACCAGTTGCCTTCATCTACATTTGTTCATGTGTATGTGATAGAATAACTAGGTGATCTGTCAAATGCAAACCATCTAGTTGATGCATGCTCTCCTTTGTATTTCGTGCTCCCACTCAGATGTCGAGGTCTTCATAATACAGTTGACTACCAGAAGAAAAGAAGAATGGGGAGAGTAGACAACCGTGTCTAATTGATTTTAAGCTGTTCATTGTAATCCTTGCTTCTACTCAGATCATTAATCAGTATTAGGACGAATGAATGATCTCTCATACCAAATAAATCACTAACTCATGAAACATTAATTACCTGATATTATGGTATATGCTACTTATATCTGTCGACAGACGTAAGTAGTATGTAGCAATTATCACAAGTGGGTAGTCTATCAAAAGAAAGTTGAGAAGATTGGACTGAATAGAACAGAAAGGGAAATATAAAGAAATTCAGAATTGGAATAATCATGAAAGATGTAAAAGACAAACGATAGATGATGTACAAATGAGGTATTTCATATATGGTTTTTATAATTTATTGAAGATACTCTGTAATTCTGGTTATCCCCATCTAAAGGTTCGTTCATTACAATAGAACCTCATAAAGTACTTATGAACAGTATTTCAAAGTCAGTATATACAATTCGCCGATTCATCCTATTAAAATGTCTTTTCTATCTGTATCTTATTCTCAATAGGTTGTTGGATTGTAACAGGTGGTTTTCATTTAGGAGTAATGAAGTTAACTGGTGAAGCTGTACGTGATTATACAGATGCATATGGTGGAAATCGAATGATGGCATTTGGTGTAGCAAGTTGGGATTGTGTAACAAAAAATGAAATACTTGAAGCAGCTTTACATGAGGTAAATTAATTCAATGAATGTTCTTTCAGTTCTCATTGTATTTTCATGACTATTTATCACTGTATACATTTCTTCTGGATAATGATAGACGTTGGCTATCTAACGACAGGACATTTAGAATAGACGCCAGTATGAGAATTGTTATTGTTCATATATCACAGTAATGTGCGAGAGTCAACATGAAGATGAGTGTATAATGTCAGTGACTATCAATATCCACCGTGTTAAGAGGTAAGAACTTACTAACAGAGGTCTATCTCAGGATTCTTATCAGTCGTTATTGTTCTTAAATGGCATGACTGTGTATTGGTTACACAGGGTTTACGTGTATTCATCAGATGGTTTGACTAACTTCGCTATAAATCTTAATAATATTTTATCTATCCAATTATACGATCGCTTTGAACTATATTCACTGTCTTTGTTAGTGTTATGGAAGGCAATATGATTCTTATTTTCAGAGTCTCTTCTCTATGTATTGAAACAAATCATGAGAATATAAATCAAAGTATATTTGTGTCACAGATCCTTTGTTGTTCATATCTGGATAGCCCTCAAATGCCCTAATATAGCCAAGAATGTTGAGAGTCAGCTCTTTCTCACGAGATGCTCTCACATGGCCACGTGCATACAACCACTATTTGGGAAGTTCTACCGACTGCCTTCTCGCGACATGATTGTTGTTTACGAAAACTGAGAGGACAGAAAGCGGATGTCCAGCACTTTAACCGGGTTGGTGGATATGGAGAATCCACCAAAGGAAGATGGAAAACCTTGATTCCAAATCAATGGTGCATACGGGCTCCAGTACCCTGAGATAACGTATGATGTATGAATCAATCGTTTGTCACCGGCAACCATGGGACTGCATCTCCTTACGTCGCTCCACTGTCTTGTGGATTAGACTGTGGACTGTAAATTAGGTTGAAGGCTACGGGTTTGGCCCTCTAAGGATACCACCTGTTTCGGTCTGGGCACCAAAACAGTATCCCAGACCTCACACAAGTTGAATGATTTATGTGGAGCATATCTATTTGGTGTCTCCTTTTAACTAAGTTTATGTGTTTAAATAAATTACTGACATTACTGACTATATCTATGGTACAATATAGAATTCTTAGCATAAACTATTTCAATAAGTTACCTTTCCTTATTTCTTCATTGATCCTGATGAAAAATATTAAAATCTTGTAGTGATACTGAACAATCGTCTTGTAAATCATTTACTCAGGATTCATGAATTGTGATTACACTACATGCTTGAATGTTGAAGGAATTGAATATAGTCCATCTTGTAGTTGTCGGTTACTATGTTAAGCCCACGTAGCATATTCTGGCCTCCGTACGAGTCAAGTTATTCATTCTTCTTAAATCACATTTTGACATTGTTAATCATTCGCCTATCAACCTTGACTGTTTTTATATGAGTGTATATGTATACATTGATTTCCCTACTCATTACGTATCTGTCACGTAATTTTGTTCGGCTATAAATATCGACTAACACTCGATTAAATAGAGTTGGGTTACAAGTCTTCTCCATTGTGCATCGTTACGCTTCGCTCTTTTCTATTCGGTTCCTTCGCTTCATCGCTCTGATTATCTGTTCAGATCAATGAGTTTCCAAATATACGTATTCAAAACTTCATTCTTGTATTTGACTGATTTCAATTCCGCTACTTACTAGCGCGGATTAAGTCGATGATTAAATACAAAGATTGCCGACATATCTGAGCAGCATTATTGATGAACATGGTGGGCCTGATGTTGGTGGAAAGGAGCGGGCCGGCAAAGCAAGAGCAGCATATTTATAACTGAAGAACATCTGGAACTAAAAAGAACTATCAACTAACACTAAAGTCAGAATTTTTAATACTAATATCAAGACAGTTCTACTGTAAGGGGTGGAAACTTAGAGAACTACGAAAGCCATCATCCAGACGATACAAGTGTTTATTAACAGTTGTCTACGCACAATAATTCGGATCCGTTGGCCAGATACACTCAGCAGCAACCTACTGTGGGAGAGAACAAACCAGATTCCAGAGGAGAAAGAAATCAGAAAGAAGCACTGGAATTGCATAGGACACATAATTAAGAAAGCGCCCACTTGTATCACATGGCAATCTCTCACTTGGAATACTCAAGTTCACAGAAGAGGAAGATCAAAGAAGAACACATTACGCCGAGAAATGCAGACAGATATGAGAAAAATGAACAACTGCTAGATAGATCTATGAGGGAAGGCTAAGGACAGAGTGAGTTGGTTAGAGAATGCTGGTCGTCAGCCTATGCTCCATTGTGGGTAACAGGCGTAAGTAAGTTAGTAACAGCCAACATGAATATTTCCGTAACAATCATTGTCAGTTACATGTAACTAGTTCACCAGTCCACATCTGAATAATGTTCTATGGTTGCAATGGATATTGAATGCTGGCCACCACGATGTCTTTGATGATGACTGTACTTCATTGTAAGTTGTACAGTAAAAAGTAATGAACATTTGATAAACACACTTGAATAAAATAGACGATTAATAGACATAATGATGTGTTTAAACAAACAAACAAAAAGCGATAACTTGTTAATATATCTTAATCAGAATGGGTTTTGTGGAGATTTTTTTTAGAAATTTCACTAGTTGAAATGATGAGTCAATTGAAGGTAGACCATCATGGAAAACCTGGAAGCACTAGACAGACTTTTCGTCCTAATATGGGACTCCTCAGCAGTGCGCATCCATGATCTAAATGATAGGAACCGATAACCCAGATATTCAAGTAGGCCACCAATCTAAAATTGATACTGATGATATTATCGCTCAAAAGAATGATGAAAGCTTCATGATCAAACCATTGAGTTCAGTGATCAAAACTCTATCATAACTAAATAAATTAATCAATAATTATCACAAGGGGGTTTGTGGACATTTTTAAGAAATTTCAATAGTTGAAATCACGAGTCAATTGAAGCTAGATCACCATGGAAAACCTGGAAGCATTGAACGGCCGTTTCGTCCTAGTATGGGACTCCTCAGCAGTGCGCAACCACGATCCAGCCCCCCTCCTGAGAGATTCGCACTCGCGCGAGACTAATAGCTCCTGGGTTCGAATCTCGCGGGGGGGGCGTGATCGTGAATGCGCACTGTTGAAGAGTCCCTTCCAAGGCAAAACGGCCGTCGACTGTTTCCAGGTTTTCCATGGTTGTCCAGCTTTAATTGACTCATGATTTCAACTAATGGAATTTCTAATCAATAATTGTAAACTATCTATAGTAAATATAGACTGTATTGAAAGAAGTTGAACTGTACATTGTTGATATATCATGAATACAGTGTACATACATATATACATACATAAAGATAAGTTCATTAAACAATTACAGGAAAGACAAATCAAGCTTAAATTAAGTTAACTCTACAGGAAGTACTATCAATTTATAACCTACAAAACAATGCAAAATATTTTATTGAATATGTCAATCATTATACACCATAGATATTCATTCATTAATGTAATTTAATGGAACTACATATATTGAACTATATATTTTCCAGTTTATTCATTTCTAAATGTATTAATATTATAGTATATAGAGATGTATATATGAAATTGTTAGAATTACATGAATTCACTCATGTTATCTTTCGTGGAGATGCATAGATTGTCTACCAGGATTCTCCATCGAATTAGGTCTTGGACAATTCTTTCCAGTTATTTTCAATAGTAGATGCTTCTTCTTTATGTAGATTTTGTAACATTTGGAATCTGTTGTTAAGAGCTATGTTGGATTCGTTGAAGTTGTCAGTATATCGAAGGAATGCTATATTAAATCAGTTGTCTAGTACTTCTTTAGGTTCAGTTTCATCATAACCATAACCAGGTGGTGATCTGAATCTATATCAACTCCTTTCTTGGTTCTCATATTTTTCACTGACCTTCTGATTTTTTTCATGATACAAATATGATCGATCTGGTTTTCTGTAATGTGGTTCGGTGAGACTTATGTACCTTTGTGTATGCGTTTGTGAGGGGGGAATTATAACCGTTTTTTAAATGCACATAAATTTACAAATCTGTCACCATTCAAATTCGTTTCTCCCAGTTAAACCATATCGTTCCACATACCGATCTTGGTTAGTTAACAACTGAAAACTTGTAAGTACTAGACGGGCATTTATCTTCAATAATTAACTCATCAAACATTCTCATTCATCATCCTACAACTAGGAATACAATACAGGACCTTCAATCTCAGACATGAACATCATGACTGGTAGAGGTATGAGGAAGATAGTAAACAAAGACAATGGAAGATGGTCATGCCATATCGTGAATTTTTCAAAGTTATACTTGTATATCATTAGACATTACCTTAACAAGCCAAACAATATCAAGTGAATTTAAGATTCACCTCATTGCACAAGCAAGTGGCTATCTGGACTCAGTAGTTGAGTGGATAACGCGATGGCGTTTCAAGCGAACTGTATTGGGTTCGAGTCTCAGAGTGAACATCAACAAGTCTGAGATGCAGGTACATCCAGTTGTGACGAGTCCCAAATAGAACGAAGTGACGCGCGTCCTGGATTCCACTGCTTCCCACTATCCATTATTGCTTACACTAGCTTAATAGTTTACAGGTTAAATGTTCATGTACGAGACTAAAGGTCCTGAATTAATTATGACGTTTTGTGTTTCTACAATTTATTCTATAAATCTCAACTATTTTTCTTCTGATTCATGTTTATATTTTAGGGTACAGCAGTGTATCAATCTGAAGAAGATGAAGAAGAAGAAGCTGAAGATAGTGAACCAATTTTAATTGATCCATTATCACAAAGCGGTTTAAAATCTGTTCGTAGTGATATTGAAGAACGTGCCTTAGATCCTAATCATAATTTTTTTGTTTTAGTCGATGATGGAACAACTGATCAATTAAAAGGTAAAGAAGCTGAATTACGTGCAAGATTTGAAAGATGTATATCATTATGGAATTGTGCAAGTAGTCCACAAGAACAAACAACAACTGCTACAAGTCCTCAAAGTGGACCTATAAGTTCTACAACACATTTACAACAACAACAACAACAGCAACAACCTCAAAATGGTATTTCTACACCATCTAACATCAATAATAATGTAAATTCAGTAGGATTACAAAGACAAGGTAGTACTATGGGTGGACAAGTTAGTACAACATCTGGTCCACAAACAAGTGCAACATCAATTGGTAAAAATTCTGGTATAACCGGTGGTTCTACTAGTAATTCTGCTTTAAGTAAAGGTGCAAGTGAACCGATAGTTAGTAATCAACCTAATTCAACTGTATCTGTTACACGTGGAGCAAAAGATAAACTTACTACTGAATCAAGTCTTAAACCAGCAAAAAGTGGAAAATCAGTTGGTAGTGAAGAAGAAATTTTAGTTCCAATGTGTGGATTAGTTGTAGGTGGTGATCGATTTACATTACGTCAAGTTTATTGTTCAATGATAAGAAATCGTTGTCCAATTGTTGTTACAAAGGTAGTTGAAGTTTTAGGGAAAAAAATTTATAAATGGATCATATTTTTTTACATTTGATACAATTAAATTTAATAATATCATGATCCAGACTATGTTAGTTAGTTAATCACTAAGAACATCAAAGCACTGAAACGATTTAGTAATACTGCCATTAGTATTACTACTGTGGTGTGTACTATTGATGTTGACAGATAGAAGTAGTATATATCATCAATCGAAAGTGGAATGAGCAGCATTACCAGCTAACTGTAAAACTTCAGCAGCCAGATATTCGAGAACTGAAGCTAGGTAGATTGGAGCACCAGCACCAACTCGTTCAGCGTAATTGCCCTTGCATAGAAGACGATGTACACGACCAACAGGGAATTGAAGACCAGCACGGGCTGACCTTGTTTTAGCCTTACTACGAACTTTACCACCTTTACCACGTCCACTCATTATTTTAAGAAGTAGAGAAGAGAATGAGAACAGAGAGTGAAGGAACAATGAAGTCTGAGATAATTGATTGACATTTTGCAAATGAAGTATTTATTGGATGGTTCTCAGATTTTGCTTGGGGATTTTGTAATTTTGTATTTACATACATATAGTTGTAACCGCCTGTGTTCTCACTCGCTACACTACTATGATTAATACTATTTATTTACTGACTTACGCCTGTTATTCCTTATGGAAGAGCATAGGCCGCCTATCAGCACTCTTCATCCAACCCTGTCTTGACCAATCTTTTCCAAACCTTTCCAGTTGTTATTCATTCTTTTCATATCTGCTTCTATTTCCTGATGTAATGTGTTCTTTGGTCTTCCTCCTTTTCGCTTCTCTTCAGGACTGATACTACTACTGATAATAATAATAATAGTAATATTTGTATAAATATCATCGACATCATGGTATGAAGATCGTCGTACTTCATGAATTAAATGAATTGTTATATTCATACTATTAAATCCTGATTCACTAGTTTAGTAATGTTGTGGTAGCTAAGAAATTATAAGGTTCTGCATTCAGTCCCATGTATTGTACACATTGTAACAAATCAACTTTCCAGTATTCTTTAATTGCTAACCGTTAGTTTACCATCCTACGTTAGTCCATAGTAAAAGTCAGTTTTACAACAACATTATCAATAAGTATTATGTGCAAAGATGAGTAATGGCTGGTAGTGGGACCCAGTTTGATGTGCATTTCTTCCTATTTGGAACTCGTTAGCTGGATGTATCTGCATCCCAGAGTTGATGTTCACTCTGAGACTCGAACTCAGTAGCGCGTCCTGGATTCCACAGCTAATTAATTTTGCATATCTTCTTTTTTTTCTTTTCAAATCTATTGTTTCAGGGTACATCTGGTGCAGCGGATGTATTAGCATTTGGATTAGATGCTGCAAATAAAATGGCATCTGAAGAAGTTGTTGATGATAAAGATCAAGTACCATTGGAGGCTAGGTAATCTACATTAAATATTTCTTTTATTGATAGTTATGTATTGTCTAAACATAATTCACAGAAGGCATCCGATAATTTCTATGGGTAAACAATAAGAATCGGTTGACTAATCAATCTTAGATCCAACGAGATAGATGAATCGATAAGTGCATAGTGGAATGTTCATCTAGAACAGCTCATTGTTTAATTAGTTAGTGAGCATAGGTTAATTAGAGAGATCTAACTTTACAAAAAACTTATGTGAGGTTAACTCAATGTGGATTTTTTTATTGAGATCATGAGCCGATTGATTTTAGACCACCATTGAAAACCTGGAAGCACTGGACGTCCGTTTCGTCCTGTTGTGGGACTCCTCAGCAGTGCGCATCCATGATCGTGCTCGCGGGCTTCGAACCCAGGGCCTTCAGTCTCGTGCGCGAACGCTTAGTCTACTGGATTTTATCCAGCACGTTTATAGGTGAATAGTTCTAATCAAGTCTGCCTATTATTATGGAACGTTATCAACATCAACAAAAAGCTGTGATACTTAATTAATAGTAAAGTTGAATAGAGTTACCGTACATCATTATTCATTGATCTACACCAATAAAGTGTAGCTCACCAACCGAAGTAATACAGCGGTTCAAGAAAAAGTTTACACAGAAACTCAGCTTCCAGTGTTTAATTCCTACTGGGTGATTTTCAATTTGAGTGAATTGTGTATTATTAGAAAGGGAGCTTGTGAACATTGTTGAATTTTTATGGTTAGATAAACATTATATAATTCGGCAAGTATTGGGCAACTGTCTAAAGTTTGTGTAGAATCCCATTCATTGATCATGATCATATGTTGCTAGTTTATTTATTTATTTATTTAAACACATAAACATTAGTACAATGAGGCACCAAACAGAAATACGCCACACAAATCACTTGATTTGTATGAGAGCTGATCTACTACCCGGGTGCCCGAACCGAAGCAAGTGGTTTTCTTAGGGGGACACACCCGGAACCTTTGACCTAAAGGTTTGATCCACGTCAGGAAATGCAGTCTCATGGTATCCGGCGACCAACAATATGTTCATACGCTATATGTTATCTCAGGATACTGGAGCCCATGTGCACCACTGATTTGGAATCAGGGTTTTCCAACTCCCCTAGGTGGACTCTCCGTATCCATCAACCCGGTTAAAGCACCGTACATTTTCTTTTCGTCCTTTCAATTCCGTAAACAACACACCCCACCACGCGAATACAGTGAGTAGAACTTCCCTGGCATTAATTGTATGTGTTGTGGATGCGGAGGAATAGACCAATAATTATCATGTTAAGTTCAATGGTGTCCTTGGACTTTAAATGGACATTTCCTATTGGTCGATATCTGTTCACTTGTTGAATATTGTACAAAATGTTGTTTTCTATTCTATGGTACGATGTGGTATGCCTGGTTAGTATATAAATAGGGTATGTTTGAAATATAATGATTCATATCTCAGAGGCTGTGGCTTGTGTTCTGGACTCAACTGGCTGGGCTGGACAGGGAAGCAGGACCAATCAGAACTGTAGGCCGTTCGTACGTGTTTACGTGTCACTGTAATCGGTCGATAAGTACGCTGCTCTCTAATTTCCCAGTCAAGGACACAACAATTAGCACAGGGTAAAAATCGACAGCAACCTAAAGTCATAACAGTATGTATGTAGCCATGTGAGAGCATTTCTAGAGAGAAAGGTGACTCACCACTCTCGGTCGTATCAGGGCATTTGGGGGATAGTGGTTAATTTGAAAAGGAGATTTCTTAAGTTCTAGTGAGATGTGTAAAGTGATATTCAGCAATGTATGATATGAAACAGTTTTTCAACAATGGGAATTGAAAGATGATTAAAAAATATAGTAAATTGATTAAACTAATGGGTAAGTGCTCACGTGTGAGACTGATAGGTTCTGGGTTTGAATCCCACAATGCGGCGTTGTGAATGCGCACTGCTGAGGAGTCTCACAATAGGACAAAACGGTTTTCTAGTAATCACAGGTTTTTCATGATGATCTAGCTTCAATTGATTCATGATCTCAACTATTAAAATAGATAAATCAATTAATCATGATTCATCTCTCTAAAGAATAAGTTCTAACTTAGAGACCAAAGGTCCTGCTTTCTTTTACCAATACGATTGTGGACATGTTCTTCGGATAATTCCTATACTAGAAGGAAACAACTGTCCATTACTTTCTAATGTTCAATGATTATCTAATCATAAAACTGACAACTGTTTCTATCTATTCCATAGAGACTATAATTAAAACTATGTGTTTAATATCAGGTAAGAATGTAACTTGGATGAAATTTTTAGTTTGCCTTATCTACCGGTGAAAAGAATTCCTATTGACTTTTAATGACCTTTTTTAAATTTCTTTATTTATTAAGAAAGATAAAGTGGTATATTTACAATTGATTGATCATTGGGTGGTGATTAATGTCATGTATGTTAGATTGTTCTTTCGTGCAGATCGAATCCTATCGACCAAGTTGTAAATGGCCAATAGTCTAGGTGACTCGACATTGCATACAGTATGTTGAGATAAGATGGTGGTTGGAGTTAGTCGACAGGCAACCCTGGATCCGATTTTGTTGTTATTAGGCACTTGTCAGCAATTTGTACCTGTAATCTTAATGGAACTGATACTCCTTAACAGATTCAATCCCGTGTCACCCAGTTTCACAGTCAGCGATGTTACCATATGGGCTATTCGGGCCGCGACTGACCTCCTTTAGGACCGAGATGTGTTTTAAAATTGATTGGTTACGGGGTAGTGATCAATGTCATGTATGTTATGTCCTTCCTAGTGTAAATCGAACCCCAGTTTTACAAAATTACAATTTGAATACATACATAAATGAATAGTGGAGATTAAAATCTGGTTTCAGTACATGGATGTGATCATCTCTTTTTACATCCTACGGGATCGTGGATATTGATTGCTGAAGTGTTCCACACTAGAATGAAACGCTCGTTCAGTACTTCCAGGTTGATTCATGATCTCTATAAAAGTTGTCCACTTGTGCGTATTCAATAAGCTTCGACTATAATGATTAATTGAAATATTTTATTGTAAATAGATACTTACTCTTGTTGCCATTACTGGAAGGGTTAAACAATCACTGAAAATCAAAATGAAGTGAACGGCTGTTTTTGTTTGAATGTTGGAACTGTTAGTAATACTAACTTACGACCACATTAAAGATTGATCACAACACCTTTATAGTAAATGGTTAACATATAACGTTTTAATCACTGAGATCAACAGTGAAAGGTAACTCAGTGGTTTAGATGTTAAGCTAGTAACGATAGCCTAGAAGACCCTATGTTCGATCATTGACAAGGCTGTGAATGAATGTTATTGAAGTTTCCAGTAGGACAAAACGACTGAACCTGGTGGTCAGCATAGAATTGCCTTCTACAAAGGTTCAATTAAAATCTGTGACCTATAAACTCGAATGAATTGATGGTGAGAAAAATTGATGATTGAAACGACCTAAAACCACCCTATTTCACAAATGACCGAATTCAGATATCTAGACTATTCAGAGTCAGCTGAATGATATAATGTTGTTGTGATTACCGAGAGACACAAGTGTTCTGAACTTACTCAAGTATTTAGTAATAGATGAGCTTGGTCGACGGATGTCATAAGAAGCCAAAACATCCGTCCAGGGTCTCTCCACTTAATGTCACACTTTTGATGATGATGATGATGATGATCTTTTTTACATACAGAAACATTGTCAATGATTAAAAAAAATAGTTATCATACAATCGTCTTATAATATACCCAAGTAAGTCCTCTGGAAAGTAGTAACACCCAGGCAAAACTACCCCTATTCAGATACCTACATAATAAGTATATATTTTAAGGTAACTTCCAAGTCAGATAACTTTCCATAATCAATTCTATTCAAAGATGTTTTAAACGATGGATTGTAGGAGCATTGTAAATCTGGAAGTATTGACCAGCTCTCCGTTTCTAGTATGGAGGACAGCTGATGGATGCATTCCAAGTAAAGATCGGATTCAGACAAGGCTGCTTACTCTTTTGATTTCTCTTTCTTTTGGTGGTCGACGGGATTATGAAGACTTCCATACCTTAAGGGAAGCATGGAATACAATGAAGAGCTCGGAATCAATTAAAAGATTTGGACTTCGCAAATGAGCTGACCCTCCTATCCCATACACACCAACAAATTCAGATCAAGACAACTAGTGTAACAACAGCCTTTGCAACAGTAGGCCTCAACATACACAGGGGAAGAAGCAACATCCTAAACACAACAGAGAGAAAGCCAATGCAATTACACTTGATGGAGAAACTTTGGAAGTTGTGGAATCTTTCACGTACCTGGGAAACATCATTGATGAACAAGGAGAATCTGATGCAGATGTATAGCTGAGGATTAGCAAAGAAAGGGACGCATTCCTACAATTGTAGAACATGTGAAAATCAAAACAATCGTCAGCCAATATCAAAGTCACAATCTTCAATACGAATGTCAAGACAGTTCATTCTACTCTACGGCGCTGAAAAGTGGAGAACTATCACAAACATCATCAAAAAAGTAAAAGTATTTATGAAAGATTGTCTGCACAAAATACTCAATATCAGCAACCATCAAAACAGACTACTGTGAGAGAGAACAATTCAGCTTCCATCTGAAGAGGAAATTAGGAAAATACGTTTGAATTGGATAGGACATACATTACAAAAATCGCCAAACTGCATCACAATGTAATCGCTAACATGGAATCGTGAAGGGAAACGGAAAAGTGGAAGGTCAAACAATACACTGCATCGAGAATAGGAAGCATATATGAAAAGAATGAATAACAACTGGAAGTAAGTGGAAAGGATTTCCTACGACAGAGTTGGATGTGGAATGTTGGTGGGCGACCTGTGCTCCACCACGAGGGTTGACAAGCGTAAGTAAGTAAGTCAGTAATTATATCCATAAATTCCAACCTTCAGATCTTACTATCTTCAATGTTTCTCTAGACAATTACGGTTGATAACAATGAATAATTTAACATTTTATATAAATTTTTAACTTTGAAGGCTTGAATCAATCATTGAAGAATTTCTTGGTGATTTACATCCAGATTATACGAATTATACAGATGAAGTGAATATGTTATGTGAAATAATCAATGACTATACAAACTTAGTATCAGTATTTGATATGGAAGAAGATTCTGATTTGGATGGATATGTAATCTCTTCATTACTTGCCAGTGGTAAATAGAATTCATTTCTTATTTAATTATGTTTATTCATGTATTTCATTAACCTAATGAAAGAGATGACGATTGTGAAAGTAGACTTGAAGAAATAGTGAAATATCATTGAGCTCTAGTTGGGTCACTGATTGTCGAATAGATCATCAACCCCTATCGAAGTCAAGGACATTCAACGCTCATCAGATAATCGTATACCATGGATTGGCCAATGCTATGGTAGTCTCACTATCTTCATTGTACTCATTCTTACTAAAATATTTTCGTAATCACGTCTTTTGTGTTGTACGATTTTCAAAGTATTCATAGTACCTTGATACGACGAATGAGTAATCCACGTTAGATGCTAACTGCTAGATGTGATTTCGACGTTAGCTGTTGGTCACACTATTCTCGTCTAACTCGAGTAGGTCCCCAATCATTCGATATAAATCATCTACATTGGTGATCTACAGACTTCTATTTGATGATAACATCATCATATTTCACAATAAAGGGTGCTAAAATTGATTCAAGCTTTTAAGATCTGATTCGGTTTGGATTAATTAAAAAATCCTGGGTTTGAATCTTGCGAGGCGCGATCATGACCGTACCAGAACGAAACGACCGTCTAGTGCTTCCAGGTTCTCCATGATGGTCTAGCTTCAACTGACTAGTGAATTCAACTACACAAATTACATATATACTTATTAAGAACATTTATATATGAAAAAATAAAAGGTCTACAAGACCAGAAATGAAGGATAAGAGGAGAAAATGATAATAAAGAAAATAGTAATGTGAAAACAATTTGAAACCTCATCACTCTGGATAATAAGTTAATATTACCAGGGTAGGTTTAAGGTAAGAACAAACTGTTTTTAAATACACAAAAGGGGTTTAAATTTTCGTATGGTTGAAAGTTCAATAAACTTTAGTATATGCCTGGTATCATTTACTTGTATCTTCTTACTGTTGTTTAGGCCTGCAAGTGATCAGTCTCTTGTTGATATATGTGTATCATGTGAGGATCGCCGCGGTATTGTCTTAAGACACAAACATTATAACGATAGATAGATAATGGTTAGTAGTGGAATCCAGTTCGACAAGCGTTTCGTCCTGTTTAGGACTCATCAGCTGGACGTACCTGCATCTCAAAGTCAATGTTCAATTCAAACGTCATTGCGAATGGTAGTGAGTTCGAATTTCGGTGTGAACATCAACTTCGGGATGCAAGTATATCAAGCTGACGAATCCCAAACGGGACGAAGTGTCACTCGTGAAAATGAATTCCACCGATAGCCACTATCTATCTATGCTTAGAATACTTATGAATTAAGACAAAATATCGAGGCAGTCCTCATAGGATGTACATATGTCAATAAGAAACTGACCAACCACAATCCTAAATAACAATAAAGATACAAGTAAACAACAACACCAAGGTTAATCGAATGATCTAATCGTATCATGGCTATAACATAGATCAAATTCTCTATCGTATTGGAATAGACAAAGTGTATTGAAAGAGAACACAAGTGAGGACAATCGAGTTGTGTTTAGCACAAAATTATAGAGTTACTTGGTAAAACAGAAAAACCATACCATAATACTTAATTTGCGAAATGTTCAATCATTGTCCCGAACTTCATTGTTCTTGCATTTCCATACTAATTGCTTTTTATTCCCGCTCTTCCTTTCTTGATCTTCCCCTTCTTCTGCTGCCAGACATTACATTCCTGACTTGCGTCATATACTACTTATATCAATATAAGTAGCACGCATCACAAAACCAAAGATATTATAGTAATAAAGTATATTCAATTCATCTAATGACATTTATCCACATGAATACCCATTAATAATGGATCATTTCTATATATATGAATAAGATAATGGTAATTCTCATGAAATAAGTTTTATCCATAATCTACTATTGATTGTATTCAATACCAATAAATGAATGGGAAATAATATTAAAACTATAAAACAATATGATTTATGATGTAACAAATCAATTTGATGGTAGATTTTTCCCATTGAAATATGGGATTTTTCTTCTTTTTTTTGTAAACGGTGGGGGGGGGTGGGGGCGGGGGTTAAAAAAAACACATTAGCATTAGTATTTTTTTATATTGTTCGGTAGGTTAATAATGGTAGATAATGCTTTTGTCATATTCATATGTAGTACTCGTCAGTTGTTGGGGTTTTTTTTGGTGCATGTGTGTGTGTATCTGTGTATAACTTACGTCTATGACGTAATCCAAAATGGATTGTATTATTTATAGAAAATTATGTAATGAACAATTCTTGTTTGTTTGTTTTCATTTATCATTTGAATTTGATTCTTCATATAAAGATTGACTGGGTTAACTATTACATTTCATATACATAGTTTCCTTTGATTATCTTAAAGAGAATAAAAACAAAGATCAGTACGGAATAATATGAATTCATGTGCTCACTAGTGAATAGCATCGTGAGGGAATTACCGGAGTTCTAGTGAGAAGCCGTGACCAGTGGAGCGAATCCATGTCTGGTAGAGACAGGTATCTATCTCACTACAATAGAAGATGGTCGCGCAATTTCATGGATTGGTTGATGTTAAACACTATCATCATTGGATGCCGGCTAAGTGGTCCAGTGGGTTAAGCGTTCGCGCGCGAGACTGAAGGCTCTGGGTTGGAGTCCCGCGAGCAGGATCTTGGATGCGCACTTCTGGGGGTCCCAAAATAGGACGAAACGGCCGTCTAGTGCTTCCAGGTATTCAATAGTTCATGATCTCAATCAAAAATAATATAAATTCACTTCAATTCTAATAGCTGAGATCATGAGTTAATTGAAGCTAGATCGCCATGAAAAACCTGAAAGCAGTGGATGGGTGTTTCGTCTTGGTTTAGGACACCTCAGCAGAGCACATCCATGATCCCGCCTCGCGAAATTCGAACCCAGGACCTATCGGTCACATGATCTCAACTATTGAAATTACTATAATATGCACAAAAACACCCTCTGATAATAATCAACATATGCTCACTAGCGACTGGCTAAAATAGGTATTTCCTGAAATTCTAGTGAAAAGCAGTGAACAGTGGAGTTCAACCACGTCTGTTGTGAAATAGTAACTCACTGAAGATAATGATGGATGTGTCGCTCGATTTGTTGGATTAGTTGAAGTTAGACATTAACACTGGTAGATGCCAGTGGTCTCAGTGATCTAGAGGTTAGGCGTTGGCGCGCGAGGCCGATGGATTTTAGGTTTGAATCTTGCGAGGCGCGGTCGTAGATACGCTTTGCTGAGGAGTCTTATAATAGGAAAAAACAGTCGTCTAATGCTTCCAGGTTTTCCATAGTGATCTAGCTCCAATTGACTCATGATCTCAACTGGTAAAATTATTATAACATCCACAAAACCCTCTTCTGATACTCATCACTTCAATTCATTATGTTCTGATCAGCTGCTTACAAACCGATCAAATCTAAGTTGTCATAGAAATTGAATTACTTATAAATACGAAGGTAAATAGAGGTGAATATATGTATAATGATGTAGTGAACATTCCAACAGGGTTATTAAGGTCATAGAGAACTGTTTATTTCTGATAAACAAATAAGATGTTTCAAACGTTTGATCGTTATATATTGTGTCCCACGTTGAACATCAACTCTGGTATACAAGTACATTCATCTGATGAATCCGAAATAAATTGAAACGCGCCTCCTGAATTTCATTACTAACCACTAACCCATCTTTTCTTATAATTCTTAAAGTAGAATAAAGAATTTGTTTAGTATTCATTTATATTTAAAAGAATCCTTGATTATATAAGGCATAAGTGAATAATAAACAAACGTTTCATCACAAATTAAAACTTCCTATTAGTCTTGTTACATCTATTATAACTTGTGACCTGTATGCCCTGTTAATGTATAACATAATGATACCGTCAATTAGAGAACAGTGAATTATCGATCGAACCAATGACTCCTAAAACCCGTACGAGAAGTCTACACAACATATCGATCCTTCTTCCTGCCTAGCTCTGCCTATTAAATCCAGAACACTAATTTCAGTATCCGCGATATGAATCATGTATTACAAATATACTTGGTTTATGTACAAACCAAACAGATCACATAGTATCATAAAATAGATCTAGCCAGAAGTGGCCCTTCTATCGCAAACGCAACAACAAATGAAGGAGAAGACGACCAGTGTAGCAGCAGTCTCAGCAGCAGTAGGTCTCAATATACACGAAGGGAAAAGCAAGATTCTCCAATACAACACAGCATGAAACAATCCAATCACAATTGACGGAGAAGATCTGGAAGATGTAAAACCCTGTACATATTTGGGCAGCTTCATTGATGAACATAGAGGATCTGATGCAGATGTGAAGGCAAGGATCGGCAATGCAAGAGCAGCATATTTACAACTAAAGAACATCTGGAACTCAAAACAACTGTCTGTCAACCAACACCAAGGTCAGAATTTTCAATACAAATGTCAAGAAAGTTTTACTGTATGGGGCAGAAACCTGGAGAACTACGAAAGCCATAAGCGAAGTACTTCGGATCCGTTGGTCAGACACTATCAGCAACAACCTACAGTGGGAGAGAACAAACCAGTGGAGGATGAAATCAGGAAGAAGCTCTGGAAGTGGATAGGACACACATTGAGGAAAGCACCCAACTGCGTAACAAGACAAGCTTCCACATGAAATCCTCATGACCAAAGGAGAAGAGGAAGATCAAAGAAGAACGCATTACGCTGAGAAATCGAGACAGACATGAGAAAAATGAACAACTATTAGATAGATCTATGAGAGAAGGCCCAGGACAGAGTGAGTTGGTTGAAGAATGCCGATCGGAGGCCTTTTCTCCATTAGGAGTAACAGGCGTAAGTCAGTAAGAAGTGGCTGTGAATATGGAAGACTGTGATTGATAGACCAGGCATAATTCAAGAATGGTAAATCGTATCATAATAATCTATAGATCAAAATAAAGCTTACAATAAGAAGAATATAGATATACATAATCTAGTTACTCAATAGTTATAGATCAAGAGTAGATGTATCATATTAGTACAGAAATAGATCCCAACAATTCCTATTCATTATTCTCATCAAGATATCACAGAATCATTCCTTTTTTTTCTTTTTCATTTCATTATTACTTTCTATAGCTGGTACCACGGTTACAACAGATCAAATTAATTTAGAACAATTAGAAATTACTTTAACATTAAATCGTGCTGATATTGCACGTGAAAAAATATTTTTAGAAAATAAAAAATGGAAAGTAAGTGAATGAGTTTAATTGAATATACCCTTTTAATGATCTTTGTTATATTAATGATGATGTAATCAATCGATCAATAAATTAATCAATAAATCGATCAATCAATCTATTAATCAATTAATCACTATCTTACTTTCTAGTTGGTTAATATACTTAATTTTTGTTTTGTTTTTATTGATCGAACATCTATGTTTGATGGTTGATGAATAGATGTTGTTTTGCATATTGGTCATATATATATTAGTGATTAAGTGAATTCTATTGATTTCAGTGAAAATATCTTTAAGAATAATCAATTCTGGATGTGTTATACCTTATGACCGCCAATTAGGGAGTAGTGACTTATCGATCGGAACAATGACGCGTAAAACACGTGCAAGCTGTCCTGCTTCGTGCCTAGCCCAGCCAGTTATGTTCAGAACGCCAATCTCAGCCTCTGCAATATGAATTCTTATAGTTCAAACATACTGGGTTTATATACCAACCAGACAGACTACATCGTACCATAAAATAAAAAATAACATTTGTACAAGATCTAGCTAAATGTGGCTATGAGTGAGGGAGGTAGTACTTAATAGACAGGAGATAATTCAAGAATGGTAAATCGTAAAATAATGGTTCATGGGTCAAAATAAAGTTTATAATAAGAAGAATATGAACATGAATAGTTTAGTTATTAAACAATTATACGATAAAAATATACGTTTAGTATTGGTCCATAAAAGGGATCCCACAGTTACCATTCATTATGTTTATCGGGACCTAACAGGATGATATTAAAGGTGGTCGATCTTCAACTTTGTATATAGTTCGTCTTGATAACCATCAATAGATAATGTCCACAACGGTGTTTTAATCAGAAGGTGATTATGTTTATTATTGCACAACCAACACACAAATATCCAAATTTACAAGTATGCTAAGCATGTATGGAATAGTAGTGCTGAAAAGGAAGGAAGTAAGCGAGTTCGCACTCGAGTTCGATACGTCCTAGATTCGAATTCTTTTAGTGTAGGATGATGGATACTCACTGTTGACGATTGTCATACTACAACAGAACAACCATCTAACACTTCCAGGTTTCCAATGGTGATCTACTTTCAATCAATTCATAACTTCAACTATTACATATATAATCAGAGTGGGTTTTGTGGAGATTTTACAAATTTCACTAATTAAAATCATGAGTCAGTTGAAGCTAGACCACCATGAAAAACCTGGAAGCACTGGACAGCCATTTCTTCCTAGTATGGGACTCCTCGTGGATTGATTGAAGTTAGACATTAACACCGTTGCATGTCGGCCGGCTCAGTGGTCTAGTTGGTTAAGCGCCTGGCGCGAGAGTGATCCAATCATTCTTGATGGCAAAACTCTGGAAGATTTAGAGTCCTTCACATACCTGGAAAGCATCATCGATGAACAAGGAGAATCTGATGCAGATATAAAGGCGAGGATTGGCAAAGAAAGGACCACACTCCTACAATTGAAGAACATATGGAACTCAAAATAACTTTCAACCAATATCATTGTCACAATCTTCAATACCAACGCCAAGGCAGTTCTACTGTACGGAGCTGAAACTTAGAGAACTAGCACAACCATCATCAAGGAGGTACAAGTGTTTATAAATAGTTGTCTACGCAAGATATTCAACATCCATTGACCGGATACCATCAACAACAGCCTTTTGTGGGTGAGAACAAACCAGCTTCCATCTGAAGAAGAAACTTGGAAAAGACGATGGAAATGGATAAAACATACTTTACGGAAATCATCAAATTGCATCAAGTGGCAAGCCCTAACACAGAATCCTGAAGGGAAGCGTAAAAGAGGAAGCCTAAAGAACACATTACTTTGGGAAATAGAAGCAGATATGAAAAGGGTCAATAGGAACTGAAAGAAGCTGGAAAGGATTACCCAGGACAGGGTTGGATGGAGAATGCAGGTGAGCGGCCTATGCTTCTTCACGAGGAGTAACAGGCGTAAGTAAGTAAGTAAGTAAGTAAGTAAGTAAGTAAGTAAGTAAGTAAGTAAGTAAGTAAGTAAGTAAGTAAGTAAGTAAGTAAGTAAGTAAGTAAGTAAGTAAGTAAGTAAGTAAGTAAGTAAGTAAGTAAGTAAGTAAGTAAGTAAGTAAGTAAGTAGGTAAGTAAGTAAGTAAGTAAGTAAGTAAGTAAGTAAGTAAGTAAGTAAGTAAGTAAGTAAGTAAGTAAGTAAGTAAGTAAGTAAGTAAGTAAGTAAGTAAGTAAGTAAGTAAGTAAGTAAGTAAGTAAGCGAGACTGATAAGTCCTGGGTTCGCATCTCGCGGGGAGGGGCGGGATCGTGTATATGCACTGCTGAGGAATCCCATACTAGGATGAAACGGCCGTCCAGTGCCTTCAGGCTTTCCATGCTGATCTAGCTTCAATTGACTCATGATTTCATGATTTCAGTGATATCGCATACATATTTACTTTTGATGACTTTTCTCTTTTTTCTTCTCTTTTTTCTCTTTTCTTTTGTTTTCTTTTTCTAGAAAGGTCAATTAAATGATTATATGTATCAAGCATTAATGAGTGATCGACATGATTTTGTTAAATTATTCTTAGAACAAGGTTTTAGTTTAGAAGATTTTCTAACTATCTATATGTTAGAAAAATTATATACAGATCAATTAAAAAATTTGGTAATTTCTTATTTTATTACTTAATTACTTTTAAAAAAAAATAAAAAAATTTTAGAATTCCAAAGTAGCAATATTCAATAAAATGTGGGAATATAATCGATCACATCGAGTAAGTTCCTCATATATTTTTTTATTTATTTTATAGTTGCCATGGTAACAGTATAATTTATGAATGATTTTTTTTTTGGTGGATATTTGAAAAGGTTAAATGAGGGGTTAAAGATTAAGATTAGAATTTTATAATTGATTATTAAGGCTCAAAATTGTTTTACGATGATGTGTGCAGATATATTCACTCTTTGTGTTCTTCTACATTCTAATCTTTTGAATGATTTATATCCCCTATTTTTTTCTCTTTTAAAATTTATTTCATTCCATTATATTCTTTGAATAACATCTCCAAACCTTAATCTTTCCAATTACTGCTTATACTCTTATTACCTCTAGCACTATGGGATTTGAATCGATAATTGTATCTCTGTGGTAATGTGGCATGGCAACTCGAACTGATGTACGTAAATACGTACGTACATATGAATTTCTATGTTGTTACTGATTAAGGTGAGGAATCAGATTTACAGTTCTCAATACGAACTGATATGAGCTGAAATGGTATCTAGCTAAATAACTGAATAAATTTCGCGCCAAAATCTAAGATTGTAAGCACAGATGGATAATAGCTAAAAGTGGAAAACAGTTTGAAGAACGTTTCGTCCTATTTAGGGCTTGTCAATCATCCACTATCGATCTTCGCTTAGAATGTTTGTGAATTAGGACAATATTGAGGAAATCCTCACAGGATGCACAGATGCCAATAAGAAACTGATTAATTATAGTTCTTAATAACAATGGGAAGATTTAAGTCAACAATACTAAGTCAATGTAAATTTCACGGCATTGTACAAGCAAGTGGCTATCAGCACTTAGTAGCTAAGTGGATAACGCGATGACGTTTTGAGAGAACGGTATTGGGTTTGTGTCCCTAAATGAACATCAACTCTAGTATGCGCATTAAACATTCATCTGAAGAGTTCCAAATCGGACCAAACGCACATCAAACTAGGTTTGATTGTTAGCCACTATCGATCTTTGCTTACATTATCTAAGGTAACAACAAATAAAATGGCTTATTAAAATAGATCAAAGAGATTGTTTCGTTGACAAAAAAACTCTATTGAACATGATGGAATTTTAATTAATTTTCTTTAAGTGACATATAACTTGTTTAGAATCTAGGAACTAAGGTCCCATATTATTTGGTCTAAAATAAGAAATCAATCACAATTGATAGATCACTAGATGGTGGGTGATCAATATCATATGTCGATTTCTTATTAGTATAGATCGAATGCTATCGAATAAGTTACAATATGACCCACTACTCTAAATGACTCGACATTGAGTGTATTATGTTGAGATAAGATGGTGGTTGGAGTTAGTCGACACTCGTCAGTAAGGTGTACCTGTAATCTTAAGGGAACTAGTGCTCTTATTGGCATATGTGTATACTATGCGGAAAGATTAAGGTTTGAAGATGTTGTTCAAAGAGTATAATCGAGTGAAATAAATTTGGAAAGAGAAAAAGAAAGGAACATGAAGCATTCAGAAGATTAGAATGTGGGAGAACACAAGTAGTGGATACACCTGCACACACCATTGCAAACGATTTTGAGCCATAGGATTCAAGGTCTCTAACCATCGGTTGCTATCGTCTCGCGGATCCCAACCAGGTAGTCTACACCTACCAACATGACTCAGTCCACTTGTCAATCACTTCATGGTTTGGCCGCCCCTAATTTTCTTTCAACGTACTCCTACACCATAAAACATCGCTTGTCGGGGCAGTCGGTGGTTGGGTATACGTAACATATGTCCCAGCCATCTCAACTGATGAAGTTCCATTACTTCATCAATTGACTTCATTTTGACGTCAGTTGAACCATACGATGTTGTCGACGGGTTCACCACTTTAGTGGCCAAAGATCTGACTCCGTTTAGATCGTATGATGATTGTTAGTGAAATATACATTTCGTCAATCCTCGTATGTAATTATCAACTTAAATCGCTTTAATGAATAAAGGAATTAAATAAGTCAAATACAAGAATGGATTTCGAATACGTATATTTTGTACAATCGTTGATCGGAACAGACAATCAGAGAATCTCAGTGAAGAAGGCGTGTGAGCCAATTCCATTTGATCAAGCGTTAATCAATATTTATAGTCATACAAAAATAATCTACAGACATGTGATGAATGTGATAAGAAGTGTATACATACATATGCTCATTTAAAAACAATCAGGGTTGATAAGTGAATAATTATCAAGGTGAAAATGAAGCTTGAGAAGAATGGATAAACTGGCTTTTCCAAAAGCTAGAATAACCTCTGTCGGCTTAACAGATCACTAGGACACTACAATAGTATGGAACTCTCCATCAGTGAGTATCCAAAAAATCAAAAGTAATCTAACTCAGAGCTTTATGTTTTCACCGTGAGTCTTTAACCCGTGGAATACTAAGTCGGTATCCAATAGTTTACAGGTCTAATTTCAGTTAATCCTTCATGTTATGTAACTAGCTTCCTTTGTTTTCAGTGAATAAGTGCTTGATACTTGGTATGAAGGAACTTGATAGATCATGACTTCTCAATAGAACAACTGGAATTACCTCTCAAAATTAACCGCTAGTGAAGTAAAATCTTGAAGTATTTCGTTCGATTTCTGGTAGGGTCTTGGATAGATATTACTGAAAAGCCCTATACTATTCAGTAATTCCGGGTTTTAAATCATTGTTTAGTTAAGGTTGTTTCGTGATCAGTCTACTTCTCTTAAAAATTTAATAGATAGATGTTCACGGAGTGAACATTAACTCTAGGATATAGATACATCCGGCTGACAATTCCTAAATAGGACGAAATGCGCTTCTGGGTTATCACTGCTAGCCACAATCCATCTTTGCTTATAATTGTTAAATTATTCACGAACCGATTGGTGTTAGATCACCATCGAAAACCTGAAAGCACTAGACGGCCATTTCGTCCTATTGTGAGACTCCTCAGCAGTGAGCACTCACGATCCCGCTCGCGAGGTTCCAACCCAGGGCCTTAAGTCTAGCGCGCGAACGCTTAACCAACTATACCCCTGAACCGGCCGCTATCCAACAGTTTTAATGTCTTACCTCAACCAAACCACAAGACTGCGCGATCATCTTCCATTGTACTGAGGTAGATACCTGTATCTACTCGACACAGATTATCTCCACTGCTTACGACTTCCAGGTTTTCAATGGTGGTTTAACATTAATTGGTTCATGATTTCAATCAATAACATATTAATCTACACAACCCTATACTGATAAGTACCTTATGAATAAAAGTATGTGAATTGAGACTGACATTATATCACACTGCTAGTTCTACTCAAATAGACTATTCAAACTTGAATCTTAATCTTCGATAGATTCAGAAATGTACATTGTTGAAGTGTATCTAGTAACTTTTAATTCTTATTGACGGTTTCATTAACGTCAATCCTTGATTCATTAGAAATCAATTAAAAGAATCGTTCGATCCCTACTCAATTATACATTTCGTATTTCATTGCCATGTGAACTGTTACGGTAAGGCAACTTTTCCTTGTTTTGTTTTATTTTATATTACAAACTTTTCTATTATAAATTTATTCGATAATGAATATATTTTAGAAACTAGGCAGAACTGTATCCAAAGAACACAAGGTAACAGAAGAGTAATACACGTAGTAATAGTAGTAATAGTAGTGGTAGTAGTAGTAGTAGTAGTAACAGTAGTAATAGTAGTAGTATAAGTAGTATTGATTGATAGTAGTATGTTTACCAATTATCAATTATTGATTTTTCTTTCTATAATATCTGTTTGTGTAAATATTTATCATTGTAATATTAAAGTCAATGCATGTGCTATGAATGAATGTTTAGAATGTAGACTATTGAATTCTTTATTAAATTGTAGATCTGATTAAGATCTGTTTAGACTATTGTAGAGATATATTCATTATTGATTAGATAGTATTGTTATCCGATCAGTAATATATATATATATAGGGATGATGAGAGCATAGTTCATGGACGACCTTGGAGGAACGTTAACATGACCTTGGAATGTCGACCTATTTACTAATGTTGAATGAACGTTAGAAATTAATGGGAGAAATTAGGATGGTTAAGAATTAGATTTAGGATTTTTCATTATGAATTGACATTAGCTATAATGTTAAAATAGTATTTAGTCAAATGAATGAATGAATGAATGAATTTCGCGCTAAAATTCAAGATTTGCCATCTTCAATCTGATTGGTTTGTCTATAAATTATAGTCTTACTATCTATACAGATATTCATCGTATTGATGATGCTTCATCTAATCAGATGATCAGATGAACACCATCTTCTCATTACTCTATCGAAATTTATAATATATCAGTTGATTCACTGATCGTGTATGTTATATATATATATATATATAAGCATGACTATTTGTACTCATTAATGCATTTATGCACAATAATTAGTGTACACAATTCAATACATTGTATCTATCTGTGCTTTCTTGTGTCATTTAACCAAAAGTATATTTGATAATCTTGAATTCAACCATTAAATTACTACAATCTTCACAACCCCCGTCTTCTGATATCAATCAATGTATGCTCACTAGTGATTGTCTCCAAGAGGTATTTTCTGAAGTTCTAGTGAGTAGACGTGATCAGTAGAGTTCAACTGTGTTTTTTATGAGATAGTGTCTCACTGAAGACAATGATGGATGTGTCGCTCAATTTCAAGTTAGACAATAACACCGTTGTGTGCCGGCTTAGTGGTCTATAGGTTAAGCGTTCGAGCATCGTTTCGAATCTCCTGTGGCGGGATCATGGATGCGCACAGCTGAGGAGTCCTATACTATAATGAAAAGGCCATTCAGTACTTTCAGGTTTTCCATGGTGGTTTAGGTATAATCGACTCATGAATTCAACTATTGAATCTTAAAATGTGAAAAAAGACACCTGCTTCATTGTACATTATGTTTGTTATTAAATTATTTAATGTTTAACTGGACAGGGAAATGAAAACTACCATGGTTTTTATAGTAAATGATTAGTATCAATGTGTTTTTAACAGATTTTATTATGACATGTGGTGGTGAAAAATCGATATTGGATACATGGTGTACTGCACTCTAACCCCCTCCGTCCAACTAACAACACTTGAGTGAGAACACTAATGTGAGTGAGAAAGCATATTACGCTACCGAATATATTGGACAAATATTCGTCTATATAAATATACCAGTCTAATCCTCAAGAAATTCATCAATCCCTTGGCTAATGAAATACATTTGTCCTTCAATTCATTTCTAATTGTTATCGATTAATCTTCTTCTTGTTAGGCTACTTCTAATTAATGATTCAATAAAACTAAGTTACTTTAAGAAAGAATGAAACGATTATTTTGTTAAATGATCAGGTCTCTGAATAGAGAAAAATTAAAACAATCTAGAAATATTCACTTAGTATTGTTTGGCTTGTATCTTCCCATTGAGGTTTAAGACTGCAATTGATCAGTCTGTTATGGGCATATGTGGATACTGTGTGAATTTAAATTCACCATATTGCACAAGCATGTAGCTATCAGGACTCAGTAGCTGAGTGGATAACGCGATGACGTTTGAAGCGAATGGTATTGGGTTCGTGTCCCAGAGTGAACATCAACTCCCTGAGATGCAGATACACCCGATTGACGATTACCAAATAGGACGAAGTGACGCGCGTCCTGGATTCCACTGCTTGCCACTATCCATCATTGCTTACAAAAAAATCTAGAAATATATTTAACTTTTGAATAATTCTAATTAGGAGAGGGTTTTGTGGAGATTTCACTAATTGAATAGTTAAATTCATTGGTCGATTAAAGCTAGACAACCATGGAAAACCTGGAAGTATTGGACGGCTGTTTCGTGTTAGTATGGAACTCCTTAGTAGTACTTATGTACGATCCTGCATACGGAATTCGAACTCAGGACCTTCAATTTCGTGCGCGAACGGTGACTTAATTAATTCCATCTTTTTTATGATGAGTTCATTCTTTATATTGTCGAATGAACATGCACAATTAAAGAATCTTAAGGTATACAATAGTTTGGACCACCAGTAATAATCTGGAAGCATTAGATGGCCATTTCGTCTTAGTTCACAACTCGTCAACATTGCGATTCCACGATCTCACATCGAACGGACTCAAACTTAAAACATTCGATTTCGTAAGCAAACTCTTAACCTGTAGACCACTTAGTTTGCATCTAACAACATTATTGTCTAATTTCAACTAATCTATAAAAATGTACGTCCATCTTCCATTAATTTCATCCATCATCGTTGAACTCTTCTGGTTACAGTTTCCTACTAGAACTTCTGAAATCATTTCTCAAAGCTAGTCACTAAACACTAATGAAACTAGAGGTTTAATCATTCGTGAGTGCAATCAAAGGTTCTAAGTTCGAATCCCTTCATTGTGAGATCATGGATTCATGCTACTGACGGATCTCATACTAGGACAAAAAGATTGTCCAGTATTTTTAGGTCCCAAATGGTAGCTAACTTTGATCGGTTCATGATCTTAATACATAGATTTAGAAACTTAATCACATTTGTATGTTTCAAATATTCTTTTCAATATATGTTATTGCTGTTGTAGTTGCATGTTAATGTTGTTCAATGATGATGATGATGATGATATAACTTTGCTTCAATGTTGTCATTTAGCATGAAGACAATAAATTGAATGATGTATTCATTTAGTTAGTAGTATCTTTTCAGTAGTATATTTCAGTTATTAGTTAGTTAGCTAGTTAACTAGTTATTTCCTTTATTGATTTTTTTCTTTGTTTGTTTTTCTTTTTGTTTTGCTTCTTTCTTCTTTATATTATTCTATCTTTTTTTAATCATTAGACATCGAAAGTGGCATTACGTGATGTTGGCAAAGTGATTAAAGCATTAGTTGGTGATTTTTATCATCCACTTTATTTAAGTAAAGAATTTCAAGCGAAATTAATGCCGGAAAAAAGGCTAGAAGGCGCTGGTAAGATTCATGTTACATAAATATATATATATATAAAGTAATACATTTTTATAATATGGAAACCCCCCCATCGTCAAAATGTATATTCCCCACATTGGGTAATCAATCAAGATCGGTGAGCTTATAATTTATGAACGATCACTGAGTGACACTAAAGCGACCTTGAGAGTGATAACCCTAATAACCAGGATCAAATAAGAGTTATGAACCTGTATAGTGAATAAGGATTATAATTTATAATTGATGGTTAAGGTTAACAATTCGATTTCAGGTTTTCATGACTAACTGATATCAGCTATCATTAAGTGAATGATTTTGATGAAGTTTTGTTCTCTGAAATGTGTGCTAATGATGTTGTTTAGAAGAACAATGAAAGTTTCACAACCAAATCATCTAGTTCAGCGAACAAAAGGATGAATGAATTCAGTGTCAAAATCTGAGATCTGTTATTCTCAATGTAATTGGTTCGTTCATAAATTATAGTCTCCAATGGATATAATTGATTATTTCTATGTGAAGTATACTAGAGATGAATTAACCATTAAGAAGTTAAAGATTCTGTTAGTTACTGACTGATATAATAATTCAAGTATAAGATTCATGTTTGAATACTTTATTCTATTCAATGTGACCAATTATTTCTTATACTATTCATAAAAACATTAACCACATGAAGGGAAAATTGGTTAATCCAGTCATTTGTTAGGTCTACCTTTAGTTACTTAATTAATTACGCCTATTAACCCCAATGGAGTATAGATCGCCGATCAGTATTCTCCAACTGATTCTATCCTAGCCTTTCCTTTCTAGTTATATCCAATGAATGTTCATTCTTCTCATGTCTGTCTCCATTTGTCTACGTCATGTATTCTTTGCTCTTCTTCATATTACTATTACATAAGAGGTAATTTATTTAATGTTTATTTACATAATCTTCATTGTGATTCATTTTGTAATTAGAATATTGATGAATTTATAAATCCCCTCTTTATTTAACAATAACATTACTGACATGATATTACTTAAATTCAATTTTAGTAGTATCTGATTGGGATCATTAACCGATTGATGTTAGATCACCATTGGAAACCTGGAAACACTAGACGGCCATTTCGTCCTATTGTGGGACTCCTTCGTGGCAGTATGCATTGACGTTCCCATTCGCGAGGTTCCAACCCAGGGCCTTCAGTCTAGCGCGCGAACGCCTAACTTTTAGACCACCAAGCCGGTCGGCGTCCAACAGTGTTAATGTGTTGCCTCAACCAATCCACGAAATAACGCGACCATCTTCCATTGTACTGAAGTAGATACCTATGTCTATCCGACACAGATTATCTCCACTGGTTACGGCTTCTCATTAGAACTCCGAGAATTCACTGGTGATCTAACATCAGTCAGTTCATGGTCTCAATCAATAACTTAATTATCTTCACAACCCCTATACCAATACACTTGGTATTGTTTGGCTTGTATCTTCCCATTGAGGTTTGAGACTGCAATTGATCAGTCTGTTATTTGCATATGTGCATACTGCTGTGTATGCCTCAATGCTGCCTTAATTCAAAAACTTTTTATGTAAGCAATGATGGATTGTGGTTAGCAGTGGAATCGAGGACGCGCTTCACTCCGTCCTATTTGGGACTCGTCACAGCTGGATGTACCTACATCTACAAAGTTGATGTTCACTCTGGGACTCGAACCCAGTATCAATCGCTTCAAACGCCGTCACATTATTCACTCAGCTACTGAGTCCTCATAGCCACATGCTTGTGCAATGGGGTGAAATTAAATTCACTTGATATTGCTTGGCTTGTATGTGAATGGATAACGCGATGGCATTTGAAGCGAATGGTACTGGGTTCGAGTCCCAGAGTGAACATCAACTCCCTGAGATACAGGTACATCCAACTGACGAGTCCCAAATAGGATGAAGTGATGGGCGTCCTGGATTTCACTGCTAACTACTATCCATCGTTCCCTCTAGTGATAGTTAGTAGTCTCGTTAAATCACTGGATAGAATAATCGAATTTGTTTGACTTGTATCCTAGTAACACAATGAAATTATTGATTGATTTATTTATCTACTGATTGTTAATAAATGATTCTTTCTTTTTTCTCTCTTTCTCCATTTCTTTTCTCTCTTTTTGTGTCTTTTTTTGTTTGTTTGTCTATTTTTTTTGTGATTAAACATAAACCAAACAATACATACTTATGATGTCTTTGAATTGCTTGCATGTATGCATGCATCCTATTCAACTAATCGGATATACTATTGTTACATGTGATTTGTACTTGTTTATAAATGTAATCATTGCTTTGGACTAATCAAAACAATAACAAACTAACACTGTAATCATGATAATGATTGTGATGTAATCATTGGCAACTAATATGGTCACTGAACTCTTATGTAATCATATACTTGTTTATCTTATCTTTTTAATAATATATATGTGTACATTATGTGTATGTATATATGAATTAGACATTTGTCAACGTTTATTAGGTTCTCATAAATTAAGAAATAGTCAAGATAATAGTCATTTATCATCATCATCATCATCTATTAACAATAATAATCATAATCATAATGGTGCTATATGTCCACGTACACTTGGTTTAAGAGATAGTGTACGATTTATTGATTATGGAGAAGATTATGATTATATGAATTTACATAATGTACATACATCATCATTACCATCAGCACCACCACCACCAGCAACAACAACAACAACAATAGAGGATATAGGATTTCGTAATCCAGCATTTTTAGAATGTGATAAATATGGTAAGATTGTAGTGTTGTTGTTGTTGTTGTTGTTCTTCTTCTTTGAGTAGCCATTGATTTATTTAAACACATAAACACCAAATAGGGCTGGGATACTGCTCGGGTGCCTAAACTAAAGTAGGATGGTTTTCTTAAGGGGGTCACACTTGGAATCTTTAACCTAAAGGTTTAATCGATAAGACAATGAATTAATGTAGACAGTGAACAACAATTGGCTTATATACCATTTGTTCTTTCAGGATATCAGAGCAAATGTACATCATTGATTTGGAATCAGGATTTTTTAACTCTCTTAGATGGATCCTCTGTATCCAGCAACCTGATAAAAGCACCGGATATTCGAGTAGCTATTTCTTTATATAGATTACATATATAAATAAATTCTCCTGTAATTTATGGGAGAATATCATTTTATCTAAGTATTATGCTACACGACAGTTATTAGAATATGATAGTAAGAAGTTAGGTTAAAGCTGACCTATAAAAGCGGATCAAATAATGTATGTACTAAACACTTAACAAGACGGTATGTCATCTAAACCTGGTGAAATAAGAGATCTCCTAGAGGAATTATTGTTCATTGATAGTCTTATGAATATCTTGACTTAGAAAAACGTCTTAGAATAGACGTCACGATGAATGGTTCTTTATGTGACCTTGACAAAATTCCATTACTTACAATGACTAAATTGAATCATGGTTTTCATTATAAACTGACAACACCTATAATGTAAGAATGGCTTTTAACCGTATGAACAGAAGTTGATGTCAGTTTATGATGTAAACATTCTTCCTTAATTGGATTTCTTATCCTAAATCATAATCCTAGAATAACTATTCACATTATCCTGTTTTATGATTGATTGATTGACTGAATGTACCAGGAATGTTCTACGATGATTTAACTAGACCATGAAGCTCACACGTAAAGTTTCACTTTACCAAGTTTACAGTTTACCTGAAATTCCATTGAAATGATCCAGTTTTATAAATATGTCTTATATAAATTGTTTAGTTTATTTAATATCATGTCTCGTTTTTTGATGACTTACTTATTTACTTACGCCTGTTACTCTTAATGGAGAATAGGCCGCCGACACGCATTCTCCAAATCACTCACTCTATCCTGAACCTTCCTTTCTACTTCTATCTAATGGATGTTTATTCTTCTCATGTCTGTTTCCATTTCTCTGCTTAATGTGTTCTTTAGTCTTCCTATTTTCCTTCGACCTTGATCAATTCCATATACCTAAATTAATGCTTGCTCTGGTTGTCAGAAGGGACATCAGCTTCGTGACTTCCAAAGGAACTCGGTTTTCACAATGAGGCGTCATAACTCTTCTAAATGAAGACCTTCTAACTCCCAGGGTAGTTCTATTCAATACTGTCAACATTTTAACTTTGCTTGATTATGTAAAATAAACCTCAGTATTTAATAAAGAGGGATAATCACAAATAATTGTATTCAAGCGCTCTATTCCAGCCTGTTTGAGACTCATCACATTGATATATTTATAATTCATTGTTCACACTTGGAGTTGAGTTCGATATACTTCTCTTAGAAGTTCAATAGGTTTTCCACTGAACTACTAATTTCAGAAGGTCTCTAACTTGAATTGTGAACAGATTATTCCTGTCATTCTTTCAAATAGTCTCAGATATTAAGGTCGTCAATGATATAATATAGTAATATGGTCAAACTCTTGAAGGATGATGGAATCGTTTAGCTGACGTGAATTGTCTCTTAGAAATACCATCCAAATTAGAAATGCTGGCTATGTGGTCCAGAGATTAATCGTTCACGCACGTGACTGAAGGTCTTCTGTCACAGTTCTAAGTGCGGGATCTCACATACACACTGCTTAGGAACCCTATACTAGGATAAAATGGCCGTCAAATACTTACAGATTTTCAATGATGGTTCAGATGAGATTGACTCATGAATTCAAATGTTAAGTTTTAGTCTACTTGAAAATAGTATTTTCCTTATTTAATCTCAACATTTAGTTTTCAAATCATTCTAAATGTCAATTATAACGCTTGTTAATAGTAAGTTAATGGTCACTATAACATCAAAGGGGCTTGATAATTAACTAACATTCTTGATATTAAATTGTTTCAACAAATAAATACGTAAATCGAAACAAAATCATTTCACTGATTGAAATCATGATTCAATTGAAGCTAGACCACCATGGAAAACCTGGA